CTGTTTTCAAAAAGTAGCGAGCAAGGAACAAAAGAAAATGGTTATTAACTTTAACTCGTATTCCTGTTCTCATCTCCATATCACTCTCCAGAATTTCCGTCGCAAACTAGCTCACATAATGCAGTTATACAATTAGAGCCAAGACAGTGTTTCTACTGCCCAGTGAGAACTGCGACATGAGTCAATTCAGTTGTTAGTACGTCCATGGTTTGCAGAAGATGTTTATAAAGAGCTTTCTGAATACAGAACGTATGTAGTACATGTTGAGGTCTATGAACATGTCGTGCCAACTTCTACACATCCATTGTATTTTGAAGTATAGGTACAGTATAATGTAACTGTCAACAAAACTTCCGTCTCCGTCTTGTTAAGATAGTATTTATATAGTTTCAAAATAGATATGTTAGTTAATTGAAAGATATTTAATCATTGTAAAGAACTTAGAACCTTATATTAAATTTTATTCAATTATTTCTCTTTCGTAGTCTGAGAGATATTAATTTAAAAATAATAATTTGCTTCCTCTCCCTGTATCCTAGAGTAAATAACTAATTTCTGTCATTAAGAGTTTTACAATACTTTATGGAAAAACTACTTACGATTACGGGTAAGAATCTAATGCAAAGGAGTGGGAGTGAGAGGATACAATAAATAAAATAATAGATAATTTATTTTAATATTCCTAAGATTATATACAGTCACATTATTTCTACGTACAAACGAATCGCAACTCGAGTTTTGTTCCCCACCCCAAGCTGCAAGGGCCAATTGCATCTACAGCATGAATTATAATAAATATTTTTGAGAGTTCCTGTTTATTCATTCCTATTTATTCATGCCCATGAAGTTAGCTCTTGTATTGTACAATCTTTTGTTGTTAAAATGGGACTTTTAGTTTCTTTTATTGAGTAGAAATTTAATATATTTATTGCATTGTCAGTATATAACCCCCAGAAACACCCAGTTGTTATTATTATTATTATTATTATTATTATTATTATTATTATTATTATTATTATTATTATTATT